TTTAGGGTGTTTTAGAGTTGAGGGTCCAGGGTTCAGGGTTTAGGGTTTTAGGGTTTAGGGTTCCGGGTTTAGGGTTTTAGGGTTTAGGGTTTTAGGGTTTAGGGTTCCGGGTTTAGGGTTTTAGGGTTTAGGTTGTTTTAGGGTTGAGGGTTTAGGGTTTAGGGTTTTAGGGTTTTAGGGTGTTTTAGGGTTGAGGGTTTAGGGCTTACGGTGTTTTAGGGTTGAGGCTTTAGGGCTTAGGGCTTAGGTTTTAGGGTTTAGGGTTCCGGGTTTAGGGTGTTTTAGGGTTGAGGGTTTAGGGTTTTGGTGTTTAGGGTTTAGGGCTCCCTCTTCGTGGGCTCCGGGTTTGAACCAGCAGAACCCTGGACCTTCATCCCAAAGCCCACATCCCAAACGCCAAAATCTATATCCTAAGCCCACAGCACTGCATCTCAAAATCTGCAGAGAACCCCGTTCGGAAGCCAGGTCTCTGCGACTGCATCTGGATCTGCACCGACATGGCTGCACAGAAGGGAACTTATCCAAAGCCCTGGAGAAAGACTCGAGGACCCTGATCGATCGGTTTGCATACCACATCATAACCTTGCATCGCAGGGGTGCTGAAACAGCAGCAGGAGCGACAAACTTCAAATCCAGCTCCAAATTTGGGGAGTTTAGGGTCTAGGGTTTCGGGGCGTAGGGGTGTAGGGGTCCGGGGCGTAGGTTTTGGTATTCCTGCTGTCGGCCATCCAGGCCAATCTGAATGTCGGACGCAGGATTTGCCTATACAGATCCGTATTTCTCTAGATTCATCACCTGCACACCAACCTATAGAGCCCGAAACCAAAAAACACCACCACAAACCCGAGACTCACACTCTGCATCTGCCTGGATTCGTACAAAAGCTCCTGAGGACTGAATCGATTTTCGAGCATATTATCTTATAAAGATAAGAAGGAACCCCCAAAACTCGTATTGGTGATGGTTTAGGATGCTAGCACGGACGCTACCTCTTTAGGAACCATGTTGTATCTCTATTCGCCATGAGTTTCTTTCCCACGACCATCTACCCTAAACCCTAAACCCCATACCCTAAACCCAAAACCCTAAAAGCCAGGATGGAGTTTCGGTGTTCCTGGCTGAAGGATTTGGGCTGAGAAGACGGCAGCGTGCAGTCTGCTAAATCTTTTTAAGCACGCAAAGGCCACAGCTTCGAGATTCCCGTCGGCTTCTGGTTCTGTTGATTTGTTTACCGCACTCTCACTTCTTCTTGCCGCCGTCCATGGATGCGAAGGCGCGGTGGCGGCCGGTGGTCTTCGTGTGCTGACCGCGCACGCGGATGCCCCAGTAGTGGCGGAGACCCCTGTGCAATCGCACGCGCTTCATGCGCTCGATGTCCTTAAATTCACACATGAAGCATCGCCAGAGTCCCTACTTGTGACAGGGCACCAGCGCACACTCAACACACGGGTGTCAAGACCAGATTCACACCAATGCTTTCAGCCAGGCATCCTCACGCAGAGCCTGGTCCAAGAAGTTGGCATACTTCTGGGAGGTCTTGCCGTCCTTGACGTCGCGGTTGCGGTTGAGCATCCACGCCGGGATCTTGAACTCCAAGGGCTTGCTAACCACTGCAACGATCTTGTTCACCTCATCGGTCGTGAGCTCGCCAGCGCGCTTGTTCAGGTCAATGTCGCACTTCTTGCACACCTCACAGAGGAACACGAAATTGCCATCCACCATTGAGTTAAGTATCAACTTGTCTTGACTCTTGCGGGCAGGTCGCGATGTTAGAGATGCGCCGTCCGATGCCACGGATGGCGGTCAGCGCATACATCACCTGCCACCGTTGAGGCGAGGACTGCACACAACATCCGGACTTGTCTCCAGATGAGGTCCACCAACCCACGGGTACAACAACCGTTTTAAGCAATGAAGCCAGATCCTCACCCCAAACGCCTGACCTCGAGACCTCAACCCTAGACCTTGACCCTAAACCGGAAGCCAGAAGCTGAACTTATTCGTGCAAGCTGCCTTCTGGCGGCCATCCACGTTGGTGTTGCACATACCTTGGAAAAGACACGCGGGGTTTAGGGCTCTGGGCCTAAAGGTCATGTGGGGCTTACATGGCTTAGAGGGTTTAGAGGGCTTTTGTCATGCTTGCAGGCTTAGGGTTTAGATTCTGGGGTTTAGGGTTAGGCAGATGCCCGTTGCTGTAACGGTCGCCTCAAGGATCTAGTCTAAAACTAAGTACATGAGGGCCACACTTGTCTTTCCTGATGTTGCTGTAAGCAGGATTCGGATTGACGCACGTGCAGGGGCATCATGGTCCGTCATTCTGGCACTCTCTCTCAGCATTACCCCGTGACCCAAAAAACGGCCTACCTTGAACCAACCCTTTCGGGGTTACAGACGTTTGAGGGTTCAGGATCAGAGGCTAAAGACATCATTTCATCCAGAAGCTTTCGAGACCAAGATACCTACACACTTCACAGACACTTGTATGAATAGTCTTTGGTTTTTTGGATTTCGAAGTTCATGGGTGATCATACGTAGGTTAGACTACAGCTTTCACAAAACGAGGTATAATCAGTTATTCCCCCACCCAAGCTACGTAGCACCCCACTTCAAGCCTCAGGACGCTCACGTGGGGTCGCCGCGACCTTGAGTCCCAGATCAAACCCACCCCACGGTTTGGGGTTTAGGCCCCTCAAAGGCGTCCTGTGTCAGGAGCCCCCAAAAACTCAGTAGAGCGAGAAGCCTAAACCCTAAACCCCTAAAACCCTGAAACCCTAAACCCCTAAGACCCTGAAGCCCTAAAACCGACGTTGCAAGCAAGGAACGCAAGATGTGCTGGAAGTTCCTTGGAACCGGTCAAGCTGGAGGGTTTTAGGGTTTAGGCTTTAAGGCTTTAAGAACAAGTTGGGTTCAGGGTTTAGGGTGTTTTAGAGTTGAGGATTTAGGGTCTAGGGTTTAGGGTTTTAGGGTTCAGAAATATTAAAAATGTTTAAACGATTGGGTTTAGGGTCTAGGGTGTTTTAGAGTTGAGGGTCTAGGGTTCAGGGTTTAGGGTGTTTTAGGGTTTAGGGTTCCGGGTTTAGGGTTTTAGGGTTTAGGGTGTTTTAGAGTTGAGG